TAAAGATTTTTCGCAAAAATGAATAATAACTATTCTGTTACTGTTACAATTGTTGTTATTATTATTATTTTGTTTATAAATTTTTAAAATATTTTTAACATTTGAAATATTTTAATATATTCTATTCTCGTTTTATGTTTAGCCTAATATCTATTAATTTCAGGCATCAAATTTCAAATTTTACATCAAGTTTTGCTATTGATTTACACTATGTTTCATTTAATATGCCATAGAGATGTTATGTAGTAAACATGTTAAAAATTTTGTAATAATTTTATTATATAAGAATAGATATTTGTTAACTTTTTAAATTCACTTAAATTCTATAGAAATACTATAGGAGTCCACCTAGATTATAGGTGATAACTTAGACATTACCTGGAAAAAAATTGCAGTTGTTCAAAATAATAATCCAAACTTGGTGGGCAGTAATGGGACCCACTGCGTTACGTAAGATATATTTATGTATGTGGTACAGTACTGTGTACGCATATATAACAAGATTAGAAACTATACATAAGCTAAACGAGCTGTATCTTAGGCTACCAGGCTACAATTAAGGCAAATATACAAAGGACTTATAAGTTATGGCTTACTGGCCTCACGCTTAAGGAACCTCATCTTAAATAGTTATTTTAGTCGAGAATAATTTTTGAGAGAAGCTCCTCAGAGTTTTGACTTAAGTGCTACAATATGCGCAAATCCGGCCCTGACTTAAGGTGTCACGTTTTTAAATTTACTTTTATTTAGTAAAAGGAAATGGTCGCATATGCGTTATAACTTAGGGTTATAACAAGGATAAATTTCGATCCTTATATGTATATAAACTAGGACACATGATTCGAAAATATACGTAATAATAATTTTTTAAAATTTGAATTAAAAATTATATTTTATTTAGGATAATAAATACATATTAGTTTTAAACAGTGAATGATTCATTTGAAGTTTGAAATCTGAGTAGGTTGATAATTGCAATAGTTTTGATTGTTGCTACAATCAATAAGAGAATGATTCTACTTATACATTGATTAAAATAGCATTAGTATTTGTAGATAACGAGAATTAATATTTGAAATTATTTGCCATTTTTTATAAGTTAATTTGTATGAGCTATAAATTTAAATTCTTTAGAAATTTTAGAATAGTCTAAACAATTTTTATTTATTTTTTAAAGAATTAATAAAAGAATTTAATATAGTTTAAAGATAAATTATAATAAGTTACTAATTGTTTTATACTAATTAATTACTATAACACAATTATAGGAAAAATTTTATATTTTTGAAGTTAAAGCTATCTCTGAAAACCGGAGATATGATAGGTTACTACTGTAAAGCTCCCGGAAACGGATCTCAGATCCCGGAAACGTAAACGATTGAATAAAAAATAATATTATATTATATTATAAATCAATAAAATATGATAATATTTCAGTTTTAGAATGACTATTTTATATTATTTAATCAAAATTAGTTAGAAGCATGATTCTAAAATCGGTATTAGTTGTTTGATTTTCTGTATATTGCTAAGTTAATGTGTCTGATGAATAGAAAAAACAAGAAAATTAATATATAAATATAACTATTTATAACTATTCTTTACTTTTTGAGTCTTAATTAATGATTATGTGAAGTATAAATTGAACTTTATACAATTAATACCATTAAAGTTAATAATAAAGTATTTTTAGTGCTATCAAATGCTATACAGTCTGTTTCAGTTTGCACTTTAATACAGCAGTTCTTAATCTGTGATGTACTGTATGCCTCTCTAGAATAGGCAAAAAAGGGATAAATAAGAGCAGAGGCAGTTTTAATATTTGTGTAGTCATAGACAAAATTTATTTTCGAGGTTTATTAAAAGAGCTACGTGATTTTTCCTCCGAATTAATTCATTCAAAGGAAAAATCCCGTTCCTCTGTAATAATACCTTCTTCAATGAACAAGATCGAGATTGAAGAAAGTCTCTTTTGACATATCGTTGATTTGAGGTAGTTCTTGATCAGTATTAACTTCGAAATAGGTCCTTCTGCAGATGCAACAGATACTGATACACTTATATTTTCAATAATTGCTAATTTGATGATTGTGTGCTAATAAATTTGCGATGCTTAAGCGTCGTCTTTTTCGCCTTTATATAGAGTCACCTCTGTAGAGGAGAAAGAGCTGATTTACAGATAAACTAAACAAGTTACATCTGAGAGTCTCATACTACGAAAAGTTTTTTGCAATTTTTTTCTTACAGGATACAATTCTAATTTGGGAAGAACAGAAAAGATGAACATTAAGTTCACTTTAAGGTGGGCTTGTCATTAAAAATATTAAGAATCCCGCTGAAGCATTTACATAAATCACTTGACATTTGGAATTTAATGATTCTGCTTATCGTTGAATAAATAACATATATCAAACCGGAAATGAACTTAAAATCTGAATTAATTTATTATTTAATAAAATATTAAATCATTTGAATTATAAATTTAGATTTTGTATCAGTGGCATAGTCAGGAATTAAGTTTAGTAGGTGCTAATAAATAAATTTAAATTACATTCTTATATTTTATTAATTAACACAAATTTGAAAATAACAAAACACTTTGTTTCAAGTTTAAAAATAACGAAAAATACGTATTAGGTCTAATATTACAGTCAAATTTCTATATTAAAGTCTTTTAATAACACAACTCTCATGTAAAGCGTCAATGAATACTCGTAAACAGATCTTCCTACGAATATTAAATATAGAGTCCTTCAGTATCTACGAATTACTAAACGTACGGTTTTTCATTACAAACAACATTGTAATGAAAAATCTACTTGACTTTGAAACTCTCACAATCAGACATATCTGTAGATTTTATCTGTAGGTCTTTACTATATATCATATAATTCTTATTGTTTGAGGTACTTCAGTTTTAGTGTTACACTCGATTTAGTGCCAATTTCGAAGGCATTGAATGATGACATTAAATCGAAGTTTGACTGTATATTCAAATTAAAATAATACATAAGAAATATTAAATTTTAGTTTTCTATTAAAGTTATTCTTTATAGGAGGTTATAGTCTTTAGCCCCCTTAGTTGCGCTAGTATATCTTATGAATTTCAACAGATTATATTAAAAAAACTGATTTTTTGGTATATTCTATTATCAATCTATATATATCTTTTTAATTCAGATTATTATCAATTAACTTTTGTAATATAATTTATTATCGTAATGTCTAGATCTTATTATTGATGGATTATCTTAATAAGTCATGTAAATTATCTCTGAAATGAAGTAAGATCAGACTAAATTTTTTTTTCATTAAAAATGAACCTTATTCAAACGGTTTTATAGCGTACAAAGTTATAGTCATATCTTGCCAATGCAGTATAAATATTAATACGTTATTTAAATTGACTAAGCTATATCAAATTGTTTAACAAATATAAATAAATGACTTTTTAGAAAACGTTAGCAAATATTCAATATTGCTCTAATTACACTCATTATTTGTCTATTTTTATTTTTTAAGTTACTCATTTTAAAAATTATTGATACTATTATTCATTTTTTAGAATTTAAATTAATAAAGTATCAATAATTGTTTCAAATCGTAAATTTTAACGTTATTTTTCTGTCCTCAATTCGGTTGTTGAACTATTTTTATTTTGCTAAATATTATAACAGATTTAATTACAATTTACATGTAATAAATGGAAAACTACGTTAGTAATCGTTCCAATAACAATTGCTGATGTCATATATACCGTTCTATTACGTCAGCACCACCCCTAAATGTATATCAAAAATAATACTTTAATTAATATTTTAAAAAATTTTTGAGCTTTTATCGTTACATAAAAATATTGTACATAATCGTATATAATCGTTACATAAAAATATTGTAATTTTGGCAAATTTTATTACCGTATTTTACAAATTAGAATGCTTTTAAACGAAGAGCGTGAACACTATATCTTGATATACTAAAAATAAAGCGTTAACAATTAATCTGTTAGTTGAACTATCATCATCATCATCATCATCATCATCAGTTTGCATTTATAGGCCTTGTAAGTTTATTGCTGCCTTCACCACCTTCTCTATCTTTAATCCTTGGATCTATTTTTCAATCCCTGGCTCTACATCTTCCCATCTTTCTTCATATCCTCCACTCATTCTTTAAGTAATTTAATTAATATTCTATATCAAATTTTGAGTTTTTATNATATATAATTTATATTAAAGATTGAATTGTTTTTACATTGAAATTATTAAATCAAACTTCATAACTACCAAACAATAAAATTATTAAAAATATATATTAAATTAGCCAAACTAAATGATATATTTATATAAATTTTAATGATTTTATTTACTGAATTTAAAAATCGTTCAAAAGTTAATGCAAATGAAGTTAATTTAAATAATTGTAACTATACGTTTTATGAAAGATGGCGTGAAGATCATGTGCTTCGTCATATCCGTTTAGAATTTGGACTTAAAAGCGACTGTTAGCAGATACGCCCACAGTTTGTTTTTTCTTTCGTTATCAGAAAAGTTAGAGAATATAAGTAGGGGGAAAATTATCATATTCTACTTGCCATAGTTACTCCTGATTTCTCCCATTAGACGCCATGGAATATTGCGGACGTAAGTTGACTCTTCGATTATAAATAAATTTAATTTATTAGAATTTTTAAATTTATTTTTTAGTTACTTTATCGTTCTTTTTTTCACAAAGCTTCTTTTATTAAAGGACTTTTTAGAATTTTTTTTTCTTGCGCGAAAAGAAGTACAGTAGAGCATCGATTATCCTACTCGGTTGGGGACTCGGGTTGGTCGGATAAGTGAAAAAATCGGATAACCGAAAAGAAGGAAAAAGTTATTAGTACAGTATATTAGGATATTAGTATATCCCATGTAATAATCGTCGCTATTGTATCGTTAAAAATTTATTTTTAAATTTATTTTATTGCTTACGAAACAAACCACTCTTAATTAGAAAATTAAGTCTCGTTTAAATACTGGCCTCCCTTCAATGGTCGAGCCGTTGATGCCAGCTAAAACACGCAAAAATTTAAAAATAATATTAAAGTAGCCAAGATATAGCCAAATATTGTAATGCCACATCACTAGCGGACATTTCAAATTTGCCGACTAGAACGGTCGGTTAACCGATGTGACGGTTAATCGGGGGTCGGATAATCGATGATCTACTGTATAACTTAATGTTGTGATCGCATTAAACATGTTTTGGTATAAAACTGTTAGTACTGTGTTTATGTTATTAAAATTAGTAAAACAAATCTTTTTCACAAAAGTGTCTTGGATTAATGAAGTCTGTTATCTGCTTAACTCCAACTTGAGTTGTGTGGTTTGTTCTAAAATTAAGAAAGGCTTTTTCTGTAAGATTACACTAATATATATATCTTAAGCTTACTGGAAAATTGTCTGGGATATATTTTTCCTATAATTTTAAATGTTTATTTCCAGAAAAAAAATCTCTCCCAGAACTTTCCCTCCTCCTCCTCACTTGCAGTTTAAACAATTCCCCCACTTCTAATTTGCGTCAGTTTTTTAAATTTTTCAATTTAATATTTCTTTTCACGACTAAATTTTATTTCCTTTTTCAGACTTCCTGATAAGTTTATCTTTTCTATGATAAACAAAGTAATCAAATGACAAACACGTACCTGGAACGGTGTTCAAAGTTTAACAGCTTTTTGATTTCAAACCGATCTAATTTGAGTTTGGCGAGGTGACTTAGTCATCCCCTCTATTCAAAACTAGGTCTGGACGAGATCCTCCCAAATACTTAAATTCTGGCTTTCCCCCGACGCCTTCCGTAGGTCCAAGTTTCCAATAAGTTTATTGGTAGTAAAGCTGACTTAAGTTAGATTTACAGTACTCTATATTAGTGTGTGGAGTGAATGTTCTAAACTGCATATAAATTTCGATATCTTTAATTAAACCTTTATCAGAATATCCCTATATAATGTGTCTCTATAAAATTTTGCGATAAATTTTAGTTTTTCTTTTTTCTAATGTAATGAACAAAGCACTATAAATGTAATCATAGTTTTCATATGCTTGTTTCTTGATCACATCAGCAACTCACTATAGAAGAATCGCAGAATGGGTGCCAGCCAGCAGCGGTCATGTTCCTCCTTGCGCCATTCAAGCTGGTTACGATGTTAGCGACACCCTCTACGTTGCTCGAGCCCATCATAATGGCGACAATATTCCAGGAAAATTAGTCCCGTCTCACGGATGCTGTTATGTTCCTTGGGGTGGCGAAGAACATAGCCATCACAACTATCAGGTGAGGCTAAAATAAACTTCTTCCAAACTTCCTATACAAGTTGTTTTTTTTGTTTTATTAATTAAAAAAAATCTTTTCAGGTGCTATGCAATCCGGAAGGAGTACAACTGGAATGGAGATTCACCAGTGGTGGAGACATCCCTCCCGGTGCTGTTCAAGGAGGCATGACTGCAGATGGTGAACCATTGTATATCGGTCGTCACGAACACGAAGGAACAATGACCGTCGGAAAGGTTCAGCCTTCTCACGGAGTATTATACATAGCGTTTGGTGGAAGAGAGCATTCCTATTCTGACTACGAAGTGCTTGTCTGTAAATCTGTTGTATTTTGAAGTTTGTCTTCAAGAATTGTTAAGCTAATAGGTTACCTAATGTTTACATTGAATCTTGCACAATAAAACTCTTAATAAACTTTTTTGTAGCTTTTTTTTTAGTTTTGGCTAAAAAATAAGTTTTTTGAGAGTATATCTTTACACCGAGCTTTTAATGATAAAGGTCGAACTAATTGAGAAAATTCCAGAGTAGTAAACTAAAGTCTTTTTCGAGTCATAACTTCAGTTGAAGTTATGACTTTTCAACTGAAGTTATGAAATCTCACAAATGGACTATATATCTAGAATAAATCAGGTCGTCGACGTTAGCCAGAATAGGTTTTGACTTTCGCAAGTCAGACTAACTTTGAATAACAAAATTCCAAATGTATAGCTAATAAAACAAGTTGACAATTCAACGTCCAAGTATTTTTTTAAAGTTAATTGACTTCAATTCCTACATAAAAATAATTCTTTTAAACATTATAGGATATTTTAGCACTCAGCAGAATTTCCTAAAGTCATTGATGATTAGTCATATAGCGTGAACTACAATATTTTAAATTAATATAACAAAAGTGACCTCAATACATTATGTGTTTGCATTTACGATTAAAAATATATATCAAACTACGAAAAGTATAATGGCAAATAATTTTCAGCATACCCAAAAATTTTGGTTATGCTGAAAGTTATAAGAATAATAAGGCCTTATCTCTAGAACTAAAAAATAGGCAGAAACGTTTATTTGGTGTGAATAAAAGTGTGGACTTTTATTCACACCAAGTAAGTGTGGAATTATAAAGCCCATTTATATCTACGCATGAAATATGACATTTTTTAATACTTTTTCATTATAATATATAACACAATTTTTGTGGGCTGTTGACAGTGGGGACCTAGGGCTTAAGCCCTATCCGCATTTTTACCGGATGCTCGCCCTCTGATGTTTAAAAACAAAACTATCCTAGATGGGTCGTTTGAATCGTTCTTGTGTTATCAGGAGTAAAGGATGCACACATGCGGCGCGGCAAGGTAAGCGGTGTTGCAAACGCATCTTCGCCACGCGGCAGCACAACCACACAATCAATCCACTTACATTTCGGTACATGCGTTCAGTATTCAAGATGGCGAACGATACCGACAGTACCGCTATCCACGTATTTACAAATTTTGTTTTGTACGGCTTGGTTTATTTAGCTAGAAGATTTTGGATTAGAGATATTTTCTTGATCGAGAAAGAACTTGTGTACTGTAGAAAATACGCTTATTCCTCGATTAAGATCTCNGCTTACTGCATGACGCGTCTAGCTCGATTGAGGGTTCTCTTTCAACTAAACTACAATAGCAGGTATAAGGGATAGGGGGCGCTAAAGTCTAGAATTCGACTTTCGGACTCTTATCCAACCGAACCCACGACTAGAAATTACCGGAACTTAAACTCTATTTTTCGACTTTTGGCCAGCTTTTTGGGATTTGGTCCCACTGTGGGTCATTTGAATCGTTCTTGTGTTATCAGGAGTAAAGGATGCACACATGCGGCGCGGCAAGGTAAGTGGTGTCGCAAACGCATCTTCGCCACGCGGCAGCACAAGCAATCCACTTACATTTCGGTACATGCGTTCAGTATTCAAGATGGCGAACGATACCAACAGTACCGCTATCCACGTATTTACAAATTTTGTTTTGTACGGCTTGGTTTATTTAGCTAGAAGATTTTGGATTAGAGATATTTTCTTGATCGAGAAAGAACTTGTGTACTGTAGAAAATACGCTTATTCCTCGATTAAGATCTCTCGATAAAGAATACTATTTCGAGTAAGATTCGGTTGTTTTGTTCTTTGAATTTAATTATATGTGATTACTTGTGTTAAATTTATTATCCTTTCCTCTTTATTTTGATGTTAGTTATCTCGGTTAATCTCATTGAACTTTCCACCATTAAAACACCACGTGATTGTATTTTCTCACTATCAGACGAAGTGTTATTGGCTGATAGAAACGCGTCTTGGCGGTGGTCGCCGCAAAAGATAGAATTCAACCAACTTTTGCGGTACGAAAAAAGCAGCAGAAAATCGACTTCTGCGGCGAGAAAAAGTGACGTCATTCTGCCGCGCTGCATGCATGCATCCTCCTTTAAAGATAAATAGCGCTAGAAGAAGCAAAGTTTTCTGTTGCGTTCGAAAAATTGTAATTTCAGAGTTACCGGAACCAAATAAAAGTTTTCGTCTATTCCCGCATGAAAAACAGATTATTCGAAAATCGGTCGGTTATATTTATGAGCTGCTCCGAATTCTGAAAAAGTGGATTAGACTGTTAAGAATTGGCAAAAATTTCCCGATTGTTTTACATGAACAAATTATGCTGTCAATTTTAAAAGATACTTACTTAAAGTTTAAAATGCCAGTAATTTTGTGTGGGACACGGCCGGATTTAATTATTTCGAAGCCCTAAGCTGAATTCTTTAAGGCCCTTACCAACCCTTCACAATTTTCAAAGTCAATCATAAAAAAGAAAATAATTAAATCAGACTATCTCTGATTTAATACGGATATTGGAAGAAAAAGACGTAAAGTTTCACTAATCTTATGTTTTATAACTGAATTTAATTAAATTTTTATATCCATTCCATTAAAAATTTGTTTTTAAATTGGTTTTATCAGTTTTTTAAGAAAAGACTGTGTTAATTCTTTAAAAAATTAATGAAATATTACACAAAATAAAAAGTAAAGTATATTTTGTTTGTAAAAAAAAGAATTATTACAAAATTTTACTTCAATTTTCTTTTTTGTAGAAATGTTTGAGGCCCCTTGAAAGTCGAGGCCCTAAGCAACAGCTTACATAGTTGTAAATCCGACCCTGATGGGACAGATGTCAAAGCTGATGTTTTTTAACACAAAGGGCACAAATATGTATAGAACAATCTCGCTCATTTGTTCGATACCACATAATGACGTGTCCCGCTAGCAATAATTGTTCTCTTTCTATAAACTTTCTCGATAAACGGCTACAAGCAGTATACTGTAAGGTCTCTTTTTATGCGGATTATTTTTATGCGATTTTGAAGTTGTGCGGTTTGTATTTCGTCCAAAAATTTTTTGGACAAACATACATATAGGCTTGTTTAGGAAGCCCGCGTACGGACAGTCTCCAAAAATCGTGGAACGCTCAAAGCTCACTCCATTTGTTCCACTGACATATAACGTTTATGGATGTAAAGGACAGCTAGATCTACCTTAATCGCTTTAGTTCCTAGCAATTTTTGATATAAATGTAATTAAACATAAAAAATACTTAAAACTGAAAAAAAACGAAAGAAATGCGTTAATTTTGAAGAAAAAGCTTCAAAGTTTAACTTCCTTTGTCTCGCCCTTCTGTGAAATTTAACACCGATGAGTCATTGTTTACACATCTGGATGACCTTGAACACAGCTGGAGTTGGATTTCCCGGGGCATTCTCATAGACGTCGCGGGAGGACAAGGGTTTAAAGTAGGGTGAACACTAGCTGGCCGTATATTTTTAAATATTTTTAAAAAATTTGGAGACTTAAAAAACATTCCAAAAATTCAAAAAAAAATTTCAAAAATGGCCTTAAGGACCGTGTTTTATGTAACGCTATGTAACCTGCCCGAGTTAACTCGGGCGAGGAACTAAAGGGGTTTTAATTAACTCTTCACATCCAGATGTCAGTGATTTGTTTTTAGAGTGAGCTTTTGCAATTCGGGGATTCCCCTTGTATTACTTTTCAATAAAATAAACTGAATTAAGTTTGAATACAAGTTTATTTTAAGCTTTTATATGAATTTCTTTCAGACATTCGAAGTAATTTATTAAGCAGCCTATTTCTTTTAATTTCTGCAAACTTTTTTATGCGCTTTTAAGTTAATTTTAACTCATTGTTTTAGTTTTATGCGATTTTAGAAAATTACGGAACGTATCCCTACTTTTTCAAGGCAAGTAAAGTCTTTTTTTATGCGAATTTTTTATATGCGCTTTTCTGTAGAACGTATCCACCGCATAAAACAAGACCTTACAGTATATGATTAATTTTACATTACTTGTTACAAGCGACCCAGATAAAATAGCCATTTTCTAAAAATGCAGCGCCATTTTCTAAAAACTAAATTCTCTATAGTTCATGAAAAACACGAATTAGCCCTGTACACAACACATGTATGCTGACTGGGTATTGCAAGCTTTCGATACAATCTGGCCGTGTTAAATGCTTCGAATGACGTCATGCGCGGGCACTTGTTGGCTGCTGAAAACCTCCACACGAACGAGCGATGGAGTTCCCACAAGCATCACACTTACGTAAAACGGCTAGCCGCCAGCTGTAAATATAAAAGGAAACACAAATAATAAAAGAGTTTACACGTTAGAATAAATTACTATTGGCATATTTGTTCTCATATAAAAAATATATTGATAGACAAAACTTTCTCTTAAGCATGCGGCACATGCTAAGCAAGCCAAAAGAATTCGCTCCTGAATGGAAATATGTAATGAACTAAATAAAGTTGTAATATCACAAAAAATTAGCAAAAAAATTAAAGAAATAGAGAAAAAGGAACACTTACCTCAATTCTAAACATGACACACTTCTGTCTGAGTAGTATGTTCATTCAAAAAATTGAAAATAACAAATTTATTTAAAAATAGTTATTTCTGTAATTACTCAGGATATATTTCTTCATAATTGAAGTTTAGACTATTTATCGAGCCTGACATATCCGAGCTGACCGCCCCCAGTAAAATTCTTTGACCCGTGCGGTTTCAATCCCTGGTCCCCCAGAGCGGTAGGCTGCCATCTTGGCCGCTCGGCCATCCGGCCTACGGCCTTTGTGTCCTAGAGCGAAACTTTGGAGGATTTGAAGCAGAGATCTCTCCTGATGTAGTGCATGAAATCGTGTCCACAGGGGCTAGTTTCGCAATAAAAGACCTCCCCGAAAGCATTCTCCCTAGGCAGATCTCCCGTGTGTCGCGTTGCCGTAATCGAATAAATCAAAATTTAATTTACTCGTTATTAGCGTTTACAATTTTTTGACGAGACTATATCAATAAAATCGCGCTGCTGTCAACGGCTGCACACCTTACAGGTATGAATGAGTACGTGTCAGGAGTTGCAATTTGGCACAGAGTATTTGGTGCCCAAATCATGCTCACATAAAATAACCCAGACTTGTAGGTAGTAAGGGGACTGAGAACCGGGTCAAAAGAAAATACGAAATGTTGAGATTGTTTCTACCAACAGGATGCGAGATTTGCGCATGCGTTGCTCGTGCTCTCCGAGAAATAGTCTCGTCCCAGAAATGGCTTTGCCGTTTTACTTGCTTTTTCTTTTTTCTTTTTTTTTTTTTTATAAAACTCATCCCTACCCTCGAATTACGTTTTTTTTTTGTCATTTTATAATAATTAATAACGTAAAAAGTTTTTCAGATAAAATATCATAACAAATGGCGACATCACAAGTTTAAATTTTTTTACCAGAAATGTCATGTAACGCGTTGCTGAATTTTTATTATTATGATATAAACAAATCATCTGTACTTCTGTATTCATTTTAAAAAGCAAATTAAAAATTATGAGGTTGCTCGCTTGCATTCGATCCCGATGCTTTATAAATCAAAACATTTAATGCTGAATTTAGTGCTCTTTAAATAAGACTAAAATTTTAATTCTATTTAATATTTTTTAATTTATTTTAACTAGACAAATACTCTATATTTTTTATTTTCAAATTTATCAATCTTAATAATGGCATTTACATAAAATTTATTAAGTTATGCTTTACTGAATACTAATTAAATCATATAAAAACAGTATTAATATGAATAGTTTATTATGAAATCTTTAGAAATGTTATTTAATTTGCATATAATAAATATACGAAATGATCTGTACATATTTCGCAACGTTGCATAACGAATATATAATTAGAAATGCAGTGGCGTGCATTTGATGATATGGGAGCTGTGTTTCTGTGAGAAGCCGACTTCCAGGGACAATTAATTGATTGCCCCTGGAAGTTGGCTTCAATCTTATCATTGTTTTTCACATATATATAAATTTGTAACAAGATACATAATGCGATTATAATAAAATATTAATTTTAATTAGATCAAAGTACGTTAAAATATGAAAATAATCACACAATATGTATTTATATTTTAGAAAATACAAGGGAAACGGCGCTTCCACAGCTTCCATGGACAGCACACCACATTAGCATTCATTTCTAAGAAATGAATTTTATTTCTAAGAAGTGAATTTCTAAGAAATTAATTTTATTTTATACCCTCCTATAAGCCAATTTTATACCCTCCTTAGCATTCATTTCTTAGAAATGAATGCTAAAATTGCTCGGTATAATTGCTAGGGTATAAATTGCTAGAGTATAAAATTTCTTATAATGCTAAATCAAATGGAAATTCGATTGTCTTTCTCAACAAAATTGAAAAAAAAAAAATAATAATAATAAATCCTCTCTTTGCAGTCTGCATGTAAAATTATGAAATGTCCTTCATGCTAACTACTTTATTTTTCTTTCAGTAAGATGATTGTCAGCTACAACAATGTACGAGGNTGACCAAACCCATAATGGGCTTGCTAAAAGGGATGGAGGATGGTGGGCGGGCCGGGTGGTGAGGGATGGGGCCGGACGGACCAACCCCGAAAAATTCCTGGGGATTTTTCGACCCGTCCGGATATGTGTCCCCCAGAGCGGTAGGCCGCCACCTTAACCGCTCGGCCATCCGGCCGTCCCTAAAAGTCGGTTAACAGAAGTATAGTCGCTTCCAATAAACATGTTGAATGTTGGTGAATCACAAATAACAACATGCAGTTTTCCCCAGACTGGTTTTAATCGCTCTTAAAATAATCTTAAAACTGTAGGCCTATACCTCGGTTAACTCACTTTTGAACCACCCTGCATTTAGCAAATTTCATATAATTTATCATTTTAAATTAAATTCTTTCTGCAAACTAAAATATTTCTTACCAATTTATTGTTTTACAAAGCAAAATTACTGGTAATTATATTTTTATTACTAATTTATTTTCTTTCTATAAAATAACTGTTAATATTTACATATGTTTTTAAAAATTATAAATACAAAAGTTTTCGACCCGAGTTATTTAACATATTCCTTAGTCACTTATAACAGTCGCTGTTGTAATTAATAGGCTACATCATAATGATTAAAAGTTAATTACATTAAATTTCTTTATGTAACATTTGAATAAATAATTAGTTAATTTCATTGTTTGACTAAACCTTAAAATTATTTTACACAGCAATTTATAAAACCAAAAACAGACAATATCATAAAAATTCAAAGTAAAATCAACCGGAAAGTCAATGTTTTCGAACCAGTATTTCTTCAGGGCATTCCAACTCAGTAAAGGAATCACTGTACTCAAAGCTGTTACAATATCTTTGCTCATTTTCAACCCTTCTTTCCTGGGATTCCTCATACCTATCTTTATTTCTTCTTCTATAATTTCTTTAAATAATACAACAGTCTCTTCATAATTTCCATCACATATATTGTATTTGTCATCCATTCCTAAAAGATAGCCGATGCATCTCCAAAAGTGAAGAATGCATTCCAGATCGTCTTTGTCGCAGTACAATCCTACTTCTTTGGGAAAACATGTTAACCAACCGATAAAAGCAAACTGAGTAGCTAACATTCCTGCTTGTGAAAAAAACAACATCCCTTCCGGAGCTTTCAGACTACTCGTTGGAGAATCCATTTGAATAGCTACATTTTTGTGCATATTCCTGACTGTAAGAATGGATTTATAAGCCGAATCCTTTGGATTCCAAATGTCACCCGCGTACCATTTTAACACGTGTTTACAAGTGAGAAGGTAACGTCGTCGAAGAGCTGGTAAACTACTGGATTCCCCAGTAAAGAGAAATGGTTCTACTAATGGTGTGTACAGAAATATCAGTATCAAACCAGCTAGATGCGATAGAAAGATACTGTAAAATTGAAATTATATGATTATTTCATAGAAAAATATATAAAATCAATTAAAAAAATATATTACGTTTTAAATAAATAAGGTAGTAGTAGAAGAAAAATATTTATTTTAGAAAAAATAAAAAACAAAAAAAATGTGACCATTAGTAGTTTGTAACTAGATTTTCAAAATTATATTGAAAAACGTGACGAAATTTGTTTTCGAATCTAACTAAAGTCCTAAAGTTCGTTAACCATTGTAAAGATCGAATTTCTCTTTTATTCAAATACTTCATTACTGAGGCTGTCCATAAATTGCCTAAGGCAGATATGGGTGAGTGGGTATACAGGTAATCGTTAAGATGCCTTACAAGGAAGTAGGAACACTTACAAAAATCGCTATGTGATGTTAGAGTCTCAACCTTTAGGTAACGAAACGATTCATTTTTGTTTCTAAAATGTGACATAGCTAGTAATGACGTTAGGATTTTCACTCTGGGAGGACGAAACATTGTTTTAGTGGAGCGGGTGTTATCTGCGCATTTACAGTATCTTCAGACAAACTAATTTTTAAAACATCAATCGGTTTTGAGGATTTATAAGTGGAAAGAAGGTTTTTGAGAGCATGCAGTTACTCGGCAAACAATAAATTCAACAATATAGAATCCTCCAATAATGGTCTGTATAGGTCACTATAGGTAGACTCGAATAAATCATTATTTCAGGGTGGACGGAAGAGTGTGGGAAGAGCTTTTTTAGGATGGACTGGCGTCCCCTTCGCCTTACCTTAGCGCCGTCCAAGTGAACCGTACTGTTTATGTCACTGCTTTTATTATTCCATTATCACTGCTTATTTTATTAACGTTAATCATGTAATTAATAAAATAATGTAACGTTCGGTACATTATGCTGTGCATTATTTCTTAGTACAATTAACGCGGTTGCTCAATTTTGGACATGGATATGTGCAACAATGTTACGAAGCGTTAGGGGCCGCCCATTAATTACGTGTAAGAGAAGGAGAGGGATAGCGAAAAGTACATCATTGTACTGTACACCATGGGGAGGGAGAGAATCAAAGCATTATCTCTGGACTTTTTATAGTGGTACTAGTAGCACATAAATTTGTGCCCATTTACTAGTCATGTGAATAAACTAGGATCTCCCATTATGAAACTATAGCTTAGAGCACAGTCGTCCGCTGAAAGAATTGGTAATTTGCCTCCAATGCCTTTTAACCAATGGTGAATGGTTTAGAAATGGAACCTTATAATTAATTCTTTAAGGATTGTCAGGAAATTATATTCTCTGCCTCACTCAGTAGTACGATTAATTATCTGATATAAGCTTAATTTAAGCAATAATTATGATAACGAAAGTATATCTCTTTGCTCCCTCTTGGAAAAGTTTTAAAAGATGCCCCTGGCTTAGGATCTCACATTTTTACATCAATCATTATTTGGTGAAGGAGAAAAGCCAGTTATATTCTATGGTTAAGGATCACGTCCGACCTGGGTTCATCCTGTTTACAGTCAAATTTCAATTTAAAGGCTCTGAAATGGGCACTAATTACAGTGTGGTGCTAAACCGGTGTATCATAAACAATGAAAATTATATAGGTCTACCGTAAAGAAATGTATACACGAGTTTGAGTTTGCAAATTACGTGATTTGTGATGATGTTATTTGCAATACAAAACCATGCATTCACAGATACCGAAGGTTTAATTTAATATTTCAGGGAAAGATCCGTTCACATATATTCATTATATTTTTTTTCTGAATTTAATTCCCGTTGTCAGGTCGATCTCATTGATTTTCAGTCCCAATCTGACAAGGAACACAAATTATAATGGTGTACGAAGATCATCGAACTAAGTGCGTAGTTCTCAAGGTTCTGACTTCAAGGAAAGCGGAAGAAGTAGCCTACAACCTACTAGACATATTCTCGTTACTTGGGGAACCATCCATTCTACAACGGTAGGGAATTTACGAATAACGCGCTAGCTTGAAGGAGTATTGGACGATACTGAAGATCGTCCATGATAAGCCTTGCCACTCACAAAGTCAGGGTAGTGTCAAAATAGCTAATTAAGATATAAAAAATATACTATGTTCTTGGATACAGGATGAAAAAACTGACCGCTGGAATGAGGGACTATGTTTCGCTCCAGTAAGCTCTGTTCTTCATATCATTCTGGGATCAAAAGAACGCCATATGAAGCGCTCTTTGATTGCAAAGCTAAAGTGGGTCTCACAACGTCTTCTCTACCCCAAATGTTTTACAAGAAATACAGACTGTGTAGCAGCTGGAAAAAAATAAAGTCTTCAAACAATACAAGAAGACGAAATCGATTACCCTATGCAAGAAAAAGAGCCTACTGCATAAAACATGGATGAGATTGTAGTCGATGATGGAAGAAACCAATATGGTGCTGAAGACGTGTTTAGCGAAAAGACTTCCATTTCTGCTACCTGTTGTGTGTGTTTAAAGGAAACCAGTGATACACATGCATACAGAAAGTGTCGTCGAAAAATTCATAGATTCTGTGGCCATGTCAGCAAAGATGATGGAGATGAGGAAATGGATATTTTGTGCAATCTTTGCATTAAAACTGAGAAACTGCTGTCGAAGGTAAAATTGATTATAAATTCAATCTAGTGTGTTTTCAGATTGAATTTAGAATCAATTTTGCCAAAAATACAGGCCAAAAATGAAAATGAATTCTGACAAGAAATTTCCTCCTATTTCTTTGAAAGCTACTGTGCGAGTTCCTATTCTTGACGTTGACAAGGGACGATGTGATTCGGGCAATCTGTTGGCAGTTGTTACGAGCGTGACAGAAGACGGTTTTGCCAACTTGGAACTACTGAAGGAATTTTGAAACAACTGTGTTTGAGATCACAAATTACTTTATGCCCAAAGAATTTATTCAGAATTAAAGACATTCCTGACTACGAAATATCTTTCTGGTCAGCTGCTATTGCTCAGTCCACAGGGAGCGGTCAAGATTAGCCAATTGTATGTGTAAGACCAAGTGCAAAGCATTAAGTGTTTTTGTGTGAAAAAAGCAATGAAGTGCAATTCAAAATGTCATTCAAGCCTTCCTTGTTGCAATAAGTAAGTTAATTTTTTACATAAGAAAAAACCTCTTATTTTTTACTGAGAATGTTCAGTACAGTATTTTATTTCTTTTTTTTCATTTATGTATCTTTAATGAAGGCATTTTCATGACTCTCTTTACAAGTTTTACTTTTTATGAGAAAGATAATTAAAGACAATTTAAAATAAAATTCTTTCCTTCCTTATTGCAACAACTAGATTCATATATTATTTTCTCTTGTTTTCCTCAATAAGAAAGTCCTATACTATATTTTCTTTCCATACACTTCTTTACAATAAAATACTTTGCCTAAATAGTATTTGTCATTCTATATAATGCATAGGTATACATACAATGCCTAGGGAAAGTGTATGCAATATTAAAATAATTCGGATATTTCATACTTTGCCCCAAAACGCCAGTTATTCTACTTTTCAACATTGCCGGTAACATACACACAAAAAGGAAATCGTGTCAAATTTGACCTCGCGGTTTATTTGCAAATCTCCACGTTTTCAGAACTGAACCCAAAAAAGTAAAAAAGGGGAAAATTCTGTGTGTGTGTCTGTGTTGGCATCTATTTCGTTTAGTATCTCAGGATGGGATAATGATTAAACGTAATTTGGCATGGTAACTTGCGTATAAGGGGCATTCATGATATTAAATTTTGATGGTTAAAGGTTGGAGGGATGGGGAGATGGAGGGGGGGTCATGTATAATATCTCGAGAGGTGTGAGACTTAATAAAGATATAATTCATCATTAGCATTTATATATATATATATATATATTTATTTATAAAACTGATCTCTACCCTCAAAATTAAGCTTTTTGTCATTCGATAATAATTAAAAATATAAAAACTTTTATAACACAATCTCATACACAGATGGCGCCAAATAAAAGTTATTTTGTAAATAAAATCTCGTAACAACTGGGAAAGTGAAAAGTTAGGCAACTCGTTACTGAATTTTTTTACATGGAAAATATTACAAATAAAAAATAGATAAATTTAGTGCAACTGATTTAAAATTATTCTATTATTAACTTATTCAAAATTAGATTAAATATTAGAAAACCTGTATTTGATATATAATGTAAGAAAGTATAACCATTACTATTGAAATTAATTACCTGACGATATTTTCCATAACAATTTCCTTAGCTCGATTATATTTTCTTTCATCGAACCAAACTGGTTTTACATCCATAGAATTACCATTATCCGCTGGAATATATTTTCCATTTCGCAGAAATTCTATGTTGCGTTTTATTTTCGTTGTCAACATTTCTTTCAAACTAAAAAATAATAATAACAAAAATATAAAATTTTTTATATAATTTTTTTCGTTTTAATTCCCTGAATAATTACATTAATAAGTAACAGTTGACGATCCGTTGATTATTAGCTATTATAATAAACTTTTGTAAAAAGTTTTATAACTTGATATCGAGTACTATGTTACACCGCGTTTCGAAATATATTAATTTCTGATGAGAAGTTATAAGCTAATGTATCATCAAATTTTATGAATTAAAAGATGCAATAAGACGGCTGGACAGGGTTGGACCAGAGAGAAAATTACGCCCGGGAGAAAAAAACGACGTCATAATTTTAAAACTTTTATATCTATTGCATTATACATACAATATACAAATATAAAATTACACCATGTTACATTAACACACGTCTTAATCTACATACATAAATGGGGATGTTTGTTCGCTATGCACTCCTAGGTCGTTTCACCAATCGCTATGAAACTCGGCAGTTACCCCACTCTGCAGTGATCGATGGATATACCCGTCAAGGGTGATCATGTGGCACTGGAGAACGACGTCGACATCCGCAAAAATTCATATAAAATACCTGGATCATTTCGTGAAGTCAGAATTTTCACGAGTAGTTGGATTCTCCAACTTTGTTTTGGAATATCCTTTAATTTTCGAGAAATTACAATAAAAGAGAGAAAATTAAAATAAATATGAAATTTTAGAGGGCCATCTATCGACATAAATCGAATTTAAACCTCCCGCCATCATCTGATTGGTTAATTATTGCGACAATAATATAGAACGAAATAGACGCGCTATATCATTACTACGACACGTAGCATAGAGTCCAGTCGGAAATATTACACTGTGATAATTATATTGATTTCCCACATCTAACAATTCGACTTTTTTATTTCTGAATAGTATTTTCTTTATTCTAATAATTGTTCTATAAAACTCGCTACTTACGAGGGCATACTTACCGATTAGTTTATAGGCACGATGATAATGTCCTTAAAATGGGTTTTGCCACACACACTTTTGAAATTTACGATTAATAACGCCGGTTATGTAACAATTACTGCAACGGATACTTTTATAAATCCGGACAACGCCGGATGTAACACGTAACACTCACGTGTGTCAACTCAAAAGTGTGACGCTATGAAAACTACGTAGGCCTAACTACAGGCATTTTATTTTCCACATCTAACCACTTAGGTTTTTCATTTTTGAATACTAACTTATAAACTTGGGCATGCCAGCAGCGGAGTAGCGTGGGTGTCAGCCGCCCGGGGCGGAGGAAAATTTCGCCGTCCCGTTATTTAGGTATCTCAATTTAAAAGACTAAAATTCAGTTTCATAACAGAAGAACAAGTAATAAAAATTTCCTTGCCAGTGTAGCCACCTGTTCAAAATAGTCCATTGAACATTGGAGGTGTATATGAGAACAAATGAATCGTACAAGAAAAAAAAGGTGGACAGGCTGTGCGCACGGGTGAAATTAACAGTTCACCCAGACGGTGAGTCTATTCCTGGACTATTCCGTGCTCATTTCAATCGGTCCGAATCGTAGGTGCGACGAGACTGAGATAAAATGGTTCAATTTTTTACAAGATATTATTATTATTTATTGTGAAATTTTGCCGCCCCCACTACGCTACGCTACTGCATGCCAGGTGTAACAAGCTAGTTAATTACTATTTTTACTCATTTACTCTATTCATAATCGCTTTGAACTTAATTTTAAATAGACTTCGTAATAATCTAATTTTGAAAATGATCTTCCGCAAGATATAGATGATATAGCTTATTTAAAACGAATTTGTCCGCTAAAAATAGGCCTATATTACTACATAATAAATGATGCAAATTGAATTTTACAAGTTTTGTATTTTTTGAGACTTTCTTCCTTCTGATTTTGAATCCGAATATGAATACTCATATTCACCTTCTTATGCCTTAATCTTTCATTAAAAATAGTCCATTTTTTTGTAAAATATAATAGTTCTGTCTGTAAAATTTCCTTTGTCAAATTAGTATTCAAATTTTAATTTATCAAAGTCGCTACACTCAAATGCATTTCCCGGAACGAAAATTTTGCTACATTCCAGGCTGTTATGTATACATAACAATGGAAAGTATGCTAATCGTGTCAAATTTATCCCTTAGTGTATTTTGCAAATCTCCACATTTGAGACCCCTGAACCCAAAAAAGTAAAAAAAAAAAAAAAATTCCGTGGATATGTGTATGTGTTGGGGTCTATTTCGCTTAATATCCCAGGACGGGTGAAGATAAAGAAACAAAATTTGACACGGTAGCTTGTATATAAAGGGCGTTAATACTATTAAATTTTGGTTGCGAAAGGCCAAGAGGATGGATAGAGGGTGGTCACGTGTAATATCTCGCGAGAGATCAGACTTGACGAAGATTTTACTTGTTAACATTTAGTTTTTATAAAACTCAGCTCTAGCTTCAAAATCGAGTCTTTTGCTATTTTATAATTAAAAATATATAAAGTTTTTATAACAAAATCTCGTATCAGATGACGCCACATACAATTTTAGTTATTTCTGATTAATAATATAGATGCTATCTTTAAAATAAAATCTCAATTTAAATGCGTGCACGTTATTTTTATTTCATCATATACTGACTACGCATTTGCTGAATGGGAAAGTGTTTTCCTGAATATTTTAATTTCATAACAGATTAATATAAATTTTATTATACCTGTAAATGTATAATAAAAACAGTACATGTACCTGTACAGTACAGTACCGTACATAAAAATAACGATCATACAGCCTAATGCATGAATAGGACAGAGTAGGAGAATAAACCTAACCAATTGTTACTTTAAAGATAGATTTAATTTATTTATTCGATCTTACCCATTCGGACTCCAAACACATATTAATTAAATTAAAAGGATTCAGAAAACACTACCACAATAATCTCCAACAGCTGTACGTGACGTCACTGAGTAACCATGGAAACTATCACAAAAGCGATTCGACCACTCGAATTAGTCAAGTGAACGCTACATCAATCGTTGTTTTGACCATTTACTTTATTCTTAAACTATTATTTAAAATTTAAATCCGTAAAAAAACGAATTCAAAAATAAACATTGTTATTTTGATTTAAAATATGTATAGAGGGCGACAATATTCGTTGCTATTTATATGGATGAGAGAGTACATTTAATCGACGTTCGAAATAAATAAAAATATGCTAAATTTATATGAAATTAATGAGCAATGTTTTATTACATCAAAATCTGTATTTTAAATTAAACGAAAAGTTCTATTTTATTATATTATCGTAATTAATTTAAATATTCAAGACCCAGCAAACTGCCACATTCTTATTCTATGAAATACTATAGTTATAAAAAATTTGTTAGTACTTTTTCTATAGAAATGTGTCCTTTACATTATCACCATTCACAGATTTACATCACATTGATCCAATAGGCTAATGTAATTAAAAGATGTAAATGATGACTTAGCTATCAAACTAGTTACTATGCTACTTTTGCAATTTAATGATAGCAAAAGTAGCTATCACACTGAAGAGTGCTTAGCAAAAACTTATTCTTTTTCATTATGTCAAAAGTTTTTAATACATGTGATTCTTTTCTGAACTCTTATTAGCATAAGAGATCAAAAAAGAATCTCAGGTATTATGATAAAGTTTTTCCAATCTAGAGTATGTCAAGCAATTTCAGCAGATATCTGAAAAAATCTGGAATAGTTGTCATTTTAAATTAGCATTTTCAATTTAAAAATTTATACCTGGATCTAGAAAACTTTGAAATAACCTAAGTCCATAAAAATTGCTAACTTTAAGTTTTTTCTTTTACAAACTTTACAATAAGTCATATATTTCTGAAGGTCTGAGTTCAATTATTTTACTGTATATTAATCTTTCTTTTCTATGAAATAACTTTTCATCGACACTACTAAAATAAGAGCCATATTACTTTACATTGCTAATTAATAATTAAAACTTGTTGATTGTGGAACAACTCTTGAAAACTATTTGAGAACGTTCTTCAACTATTTCTAATTATAGATATTTAGCAGTGGCATGCAGTGACATTTGATGATGGGAAGCTGTGCCGGTTCTGGATAGAATCATTGGTAGCCTTATACAATATTTTGGTGTATAGTATCCATGAGTAAACTGCTCTGTAAAGCACTTTACACCATTCAAATAATTTTGCTGTAAAATTTTTCCTGTATTCGACAATACAGCGCTTCTATTGGGAGTAAGCATTTATGAATTTATATTCGAATATACAACAGCAATCTTAACAATGTTTTTCACATGTAGTATAGAAATTTGTAATAAGATACATAATGCAGTTATAATAAAATATTAATTTAAAGTATGTTAAAATATGAAAATAATTACACAATATGTATTTATATTTTAGAAAATACAAGGAAAGTATCACTTCCACAGCTTCCATGGATGGCATGCCACTGATATTTAGGGGTATGTTAAATTCTTCACTTTTATGGAAGAAATACAAAGACTGGAAAAGGATGGAAATAGCTGTGCTAATCAGTAGTGGATTTATTGATTCACATAACTTTCCAAGTGAGAAGGGTTGTGTAACTAGGGGGCTTCAAAAAAAAAAAAAAAATCTATTCTTTCTGATAACTTTTTTCTTAAGAAAATGCTGTCTGATTCCATAATTAAAAAAGTTTAAATAAGACTATGAGTCTTATTTAAACTTTTTTAATAATATATATATTATTGTTTATTTGATATATCAGCATCAGTAGCAGATTTATGGCATTGGTGAGTCATCCACTGTCAACAATAGAACCTTTTTTGTAAAAGTTAGTAGACAACCATAATAAACTTTTAAGCTAATAAGAATAAATAATAATTATATATATATA